CATCCCCCCCGAAGATAAGTTTCTCTATTTCCTTTTGCGTATGGCAGTAAGTAACAAGCACAAATCTTGTGGTTTAGGTCCCGTCCTTGTCCAACAGTAGGGAGGAAAGGCAGGAACAGTGAATTCTTATTCTTTCCAGAACAGCAGCCAACATTTTTTGATGAGTAACAGGAGCATGTGTACAGCAACAGGAAACATGCTCTTCTTACCCCCGAGACCTTCACGAGCTCTAGCTGTGCTCCGTGGTTAATCTTCTGGTTTATGATGGACAGAACATCACATGAAATAATAACTATATCCTGTAATGTTTCTGATTATTAGACTTGATTGCCCCAGAAGCATACACTGAGGCTTCACTGACCCTTTCAAGGGGAACTTCACTAATAAAATCCTCTTAAATCATTTTGTAATTGACTGCTGGACATGCTTCTGAGCCTCGGCAGGACCCTATGACACCATGAAGCATAGGATCAGCAAAATATTTGCGCATTATGCACACAGCTCAACCCAATAAAATGGTGGTGGCGGTGGGGAAGTTATTTTCTATTGATCAGTTCAATTCATTTTGCCTAATGCTCACTTGGAAATCAGCTGCCATTCCCAAGCTCCTCACGTGGCTTCCCGGAGGTGATCCCACCCCGCGCCACAGCAAGAGGGAGCCGAAGGAAACTCACTCCAGCATCCTAGCTCGGGGCTGGACTTGCCTTCTAGGCGATCCTGGAGGCTGCCACAACCACGGCCTTGGTGCCTGGGCGAGTTCACCCACTTCCACGTTGGCTACAGCCCCTGCTCACACCTGGTGAGATGGCAGATAACACCGTCCCCATTCAGTTCGCCCACCTTCAGCAAACAGACCTGCTCCTGCACTTTGGAACAGGTGGCGCTGAGGGAACTAGAGGAGGAACCTCCCTTCTCGTTCAGCATCGGTGCTTTGTACACCAGGAAGGGCTTTTTTGGTGGGCTTATTCGGTTTAGTCCAGATGCTCTTTGGACCAGGTGATTTTTCAAGGTCCCTTCCAAGCAGGGCTGTCCTATGATCAGCCAAATCCTTATTTTTATTTATCATTCATCAAGATGAGAGGAACCGAAATGCAAGCGCTCGGCCTACAATGTTGGGCTCTCACACGAGTGCGCACGTAGCAATGGGAGCGACAACCAGACCCAAACCCAGTCCCCACCAACTCTGGCCTTCAAGGTGCTGAAGAGAAATTCCCACAGCTGGCCAGGGGAACAACATTTATGAAATCGCTGTGATCCAGACACTCTTCTCTTTACCCGTTAACAAGCTTATTGATCATCCACACACAGAGCTCACAGCGAGAGAGAAGGATAAAATTTTCCCCAGTCTCCACCACGAGCTCTCTGCTGAGCTTTTCTGTACTCAAACCTTCACGCTGCTCTGGCTTTGGGGAGCGGCAGTTGCTTTGCTGTCCCCATCCAGCCACACTCTGCTTCCCAGCGCTCTCAGTCTGCTCAAGCACCTGAGCATCATCAAGGACCTGTTACCCCCCAGCACTGACCAGGTCCAGCTCTCCTCACACAACTGGATTTTTTAACTCGTAAAGGAGTATTTTAACACCACAAGACAGAAGCAGACTTGCCTCACTGTCAGCTTCCATACAATATCTATGTAAAAAGGGTTTGTCTCAACTCTTAAATAATATTGTCACAACTTGCTACTCCTAATATTAAAAAAAAAAACCAACAGACATCTCTTTTTTGGCTGTATCAAAGCAAAACAATCAAGTTTCACTAGCTGAACAGCAAGGTACCAGCAAGGTGCTGTCACTCTTTAATTATGCCACCACCAGGTCTGCAGGCAGACGCCGAGGCTCTGGCCTGAGCTTCAGCTAACTGAACAGGGCAAGAGAAACTCCTGAACGTGACAGGAGACACATGGAGTCTCGTGTCAAAAAAAAAAAGAGAGGGGTGAGAGTGCAGACGGGAGTGGTAAAGACAAGAAAATGGAAAACAGATAAGAAGATATAAAACCTGTGTAATTGTGGCTGCCTGGGGATCACCGCAGCTGGAGCAGAGAACAAACCAACGCTGCTGCTCTGGCCAGAACGCGCCTGTTGAATGCCCTTCCCCAGGCAGGAGTAGCGAGGATGCCTTCCCTCATGAGCAAGGGAACAGGCAGCACAGCCAGATGTTGGCGCCCCTTCCACGCCTGACAGCGTCAGGATCTGCCTGACAACCTCCTAACAGCCAGAGGGTCCTACTTCCACGACAGGAGTCTTCACTACTCATGGGAAAAACTACCTAGGATCCGCTCGGATCTTGATTAGAATTCTGCACCTCTTGCAAAACAAGCACTGTAATTAAAACATTTCTTATTTCCAGTTTCGGGCTCTTTTGCCACACAAAAAGAAACTCGTTTTAGTTGCAGAAAGTCCACAGGACCAGCAACAGTCTTCACATGTACATACCACAGCATGCACAAGATTTCCCCTTGAAAAAAGCAGCAAAACATACAGAAAAATATTTCATTGCACGCCCACTTCTGCTGTCCAAACTAAACCTCCATTGTATTTGCTCTCATCAGGAAATACGAGCAGGGATAAAGGGGGGAAAAAAAAAAAAAAAGTTATTTTTCGAAGTAAGGAAACAAACAGCAAGGACACAGACAACAAAGTGCTGTGGCATCTCTGTGCCTGCGCAGTCCTTCCACCAAACGCCTGTGGACCAAAGGCACCGTTCCGAGCTGCGGAGCACCACGCTGGCTTTGCCAGTGCTGTACATCATTCTAGACACATTCTCTTAAAGGCTGAATACACACAAACAGCCTTAACTGATAAACATCAGCAAAGCCTGTTTCCTGTCTTCTCAACTCCCAGCGAAAACTTTCCACAGGCCTGCAAACCCAGAGCCTTATTTCAGTGGGCATCAGATGTCCTGGCCTGGAGAACTCTCCAGCCTTATAAAGCAGCTGAGGAAACGCCAGCTGCTGCGGTGGCAAAGGCCGCCAGCCTGAAGCGGTTACCTGTCAACTCCGGAGCCAGCGGGGGCTGAACACAGAGCTTTTCCCTTGCTGAAGGGTGTGAAGAGGCTAATGAACAGTGGAACATACAGTGGAATATAAAAGTGATCTAATCACATTGTATTTTATTACCGTTACGCAGACACCTGCAACACAAGCTGAGGCCTTAGGAGAGGAGTCACTCTCACCTACAAACCCCTGTAGCTTCTTAAAGTTGGCTGACTGCTTTGAAAGGGCTCCGTAGCGTATTATCATCCTCATCTCTGCTGATGAGGAAGGGTAAAGGTCCAGGAAATACACCAAACCGGCGCTTTCCCCCCTGGCATCACACGCTCTCTCCTTGTCACGTCTGACTGTGAGGACTACAGGATCCGCGCTACGGCCACTCGGTGCCACAAGCCCCCTCATCCCTGCAAGGTGACGCTACTCGTCACCCTGAGCACCGGGACCCCCCCGGTAACGACACGGCCGGGCGGTGGGACCCGCTAGGGTCAGAACGGGGAAGGGCTATGAGGTACCGGCTGTCGCAGGCCGGGGCGGGGAAGGCAAGGTCACGTCCTTCCC